GTTGTTTCCAGGTTCTGGCTATGACAAGCTGCTATGAACATAGTTGAGCACATGTCCTTGTGGCATGATTGAGCATCCTTTGGATATATACCCAAAAGTGGTATTACTGGGTCTTCAGGAAGGTTGTTTCCTAATTTTCTGAGAAATCGCCACACTGCCATCCAAAGGGGCTGTACCAGCTTGCATTCTCACCAGCAATGCAGAAGTGTTCCCTTTTCCCACAACCTCTCCAGCATAAGTTGTCCTCAGTGTTATTTGGTCTTGGCCATTCTTACAGTTGTAAGATGGAATCTCAGGTTGTTTTGATTTGCATTTCTCTAGTGACTAAGGATGTTGAGCATTTTCTTAAGTATCTTCTTGCTATCCTGGTCTCCCTTTTTTTGGAGACACTGTGTATCTCTGGTTGACCTGTAACTCACAGAAATCTTCCTGCCTCTGTCTTTTGAGTGCTGGGATTAATAAAGGCATGCAACATCCTGTCTACCAAAGTGTACACTTGATCTGTAGGGACCTTGGTTAAAGAAAATGGTGAGAGTTTGCAGAACAGAGGAGCTCTCTCTGGGGTGCCTTTTCAGAGTTGAGAGATTCCATGCCTTACCAATTGCCTCCTTCTGGAAGAAAATAGCTGTTGTAGGTCAGACCAAAAGAAGTCAGTGAACAGCTATGGTAGTGGACACCTTTAATCTCAGCACTTGGTCATCCAGAAAAAAAAAAAGCCAGTGAAATTAGCACCTGGGGGCCTGTCTTTGTAAAAATGAAGAGGAGGCATCAAGGAGGGCGTGCTGCCAGTTGGAGTCAGCAGTGTTTCAGGTGTAGGAAATAGGAAAGCTTGGAAGGGCAGCCCAGTGAGGAGCTCTAGGTGTAACGGAAGAGTTTGCTCTCCTGTCTTGCTTGAAAGTTAGATGTTCCCGTCTTTTTTTTTTTTTTAATTTATTTAGATTTATTTATTTTCTGTGTACAGGCGGTTGCCTATGTGTGTGTGTGTACAACTGTAGTGAGGAGCTGCGGGCAGGCCTGCTTTTCGCCTCATCCGGCTCCCGCACGGCTAGCTTAGTCCCAGAAATAACAACACACAAATTGTATTCATTTAAGCACTGCCTGGCCCATTATCTCTAGAGAGTTAGTTACTGACTAACTCTCATATCTTGATATTAACCCATTTCTAATAATCTGTGTAGCACCACGAGGTGGTGGCTTACCGGGAAAGATTCAGCATGTCTGATCTGGTGGCTGGCTCCATGGCTTCTGCCTCACAGCCCTCTTCCCAGAATTCTGTTCTGTTTACTCTGCCTACCTAATTTTCTGTCCTATCAAGGGGCCAAGGCAGTCTCTTTATTGACCAATGAAAATAACACAATAGACAGATAACCCTCCTCCATCATACAACATATGTGCAGTGTCCAGAGTTCAGAAGAAAGCATCAGATTCCCTGGAACTGGCTGTCAGCCTTCATGTGGGTGCTGGGAACTGAACCAGGGTCCTCTGCTACAGCAGCAGGTGCTCCTAACCAGTGAGCATCTCGCCAGCACAGATGTTTCCCATCTCTTGTTTGTTTCTCTGGTGCTGAGGATTGAACCCAGGGCTTCATGAATGCTAGACAAACCTGAGGCATATCCACAAAGTATATTTAGAATAAATTGTCAAATATTCCGGGCAGTGGTGGCGCACACCTTTGATCCCAGCACTAAGGAGGCAGAGGCAGGTGGATCTCTGTGAGTTCTTGGCCTGTGAGTTCTGGTTTTCAAAGCAAGTTCCAGAACAGCCAGAGCAACATAGAGAAACCCTGTCTAAAAGCAATGCCAACTATGTCAGTCACCCAGATAATTCACAGACTCATTAACACTGCTCACATCAGTCTTGTAATTTCTTGGGAAGGATGTGCTTCTAATAGGTATGTCAGGAATCAAAATTCCCCTCCAAACCAAAAAACATCTTGTTGGGGTTTCAGTTGAATGCCATTTCTTTGTACTTCATTGGAGCAGATCCTGCCTTTTAGACATTTGAAAAACATCTTCACATGTAGAAAACTATTACCATCAAGGAGAAACCAGTCAACTGGGAAAAGTGATGGTAGAGGGGCAGAGGAACTGGAAGCTAAGGATGGCGGACCGTATCTTTAATATCGTTCTCAGGAGGCTGAGGCAAGAGGATTGCCAGGAGTTTGAGGTCAGTCTGGGCAACATTGAAAGGCTTTCTCAGAAATAAAAAAGCCACACATGTTAGTCCAAGGAACTTGACCTGTAAAAAGTAAAGGGACCGGGAGAAAGTTTTCCAGTGATTGTTAATTCAGGTCCTGAGCTTAATCTTAAAGGAGGTTCTGAGTTCCTGTGTGTGAACGTCGGGACGCCAGTCTTTTTACAGGTGTGATGAGGTCATCTTGACTGAGGTCCTTCTACTGATGCTGTAGAACCTTCGCAAGCTGCTCAGCTGGCCTCGGCTGCCTGTGTCCTTCCTGAGTCCTGATAGAAGTGGTGGTTGTGATTCCTTCCGAGGCTTAAATCAGAGAGAGCCACACTCATCTTTGATTCTAGCACTTAAGAGACAGAGGCAGGCCAAACTCTTGAGTTCAAGGACAGCGAAGGCTACATAGTAAGACCCTGCCTCAAAATAACCCTTTTCTTCAGAAAAACCAACCAACCAAAGCAACAAAAACCTGGTGGTTCTGCTTGAAAACCCTAGTATTCGTGAGGCAAGGGAAGGAGGATTACACACAAGTTGAGGCCCACAACCTGTCTACATTGAGAATTCCAGGTCAGCCAAGAGTTACCTGTCTCAAAACGTACACACAGAAGCAAGAACCACCACCCCACTAAAGTGTTAGATGCATATTGTAAGGGAGAAAAGCCTTAAATAGTTGAGAAAAGCGTGCTCACACGCTAACCAGTTCTAGCTACCAAGAGGCCTTCTAGTAACCCTCTAGGAGTAGAAGAGTGCCAGACATAAGAAATCTAAATATTCTCTGCTCTTCTGTACTTAACTACCCTCCCTGTTTTCTTTTTCTTCTCTCTCTTCCTCTCTCTATTCTCCTCACTCCTTCCCTTAAGTTTAGGGCTCTCTACATAGCTCTGGCTATCCTGGAACTCACTATGTAGACCTGGCTGCTGGCCCCACACTCAATAGAGCGGCAGCTGCTTCTGGTCCCCCCCTCCCCCGCCCAAGTGCTGGAATTAAAGGCATACATCACTATGCCTGGCTCAGTTTTTTGAAATAAAACCTTAAACAGTTAAAAGATATAATAGCAAAAAATAAACCAGGAAAATGTAGCTGAAATTAGGGTTATTCTGACGTGCTTATCTACAGTTTTAAAGGACATAATTGATACAGGGGGATTTTGAGGCGTAAAGAAAAAAAAATGGAGACAGCAAACCAATTACTTTTTTAAAGATTTGTTTATGTGTATGGGTGTTTTGCCTGCATGTATGTCTCTGCAACACATGTTGTGCCTGTGTAGGCCAGAAAAGGGTGTCAGATGCTCTTAGCTGGCGTGTGGGTGCTGGACCATACTTGGTCTTCTTAACCGCTGAACCATCTCTCCAGCCCCTCGTGGAGTCACAGATGCTCCTCTGTATATCTCTGTATATACAGCCTTGACTGTCCTGGAACTTGCTCTGTAAACCAGGCTGGCCTCAAACTCAAAGAAATCTACCTGCCTCAGCCTCCTCAGTGCTGGGATTAAAGGTGTGTCCCACCACCTCCTGACTTTCTGGCTTTTGTTACCTCGTTATTTCCTCGGGCCTGCCCCTTTCTTACCGGGGTCCAGCTCTTCTTTGGACTACATAACTTGTGTCAGTGGGATAATATGATAATTTATATCTACCTTTTGATTCCTGTAACTAGTGAAGGAGCGTGTCTCTGTTCATAGACTGTAAGACCTACCCATAAACTACCCAAGCCGGTCTTAAAATTATGATGTAGAAAGATGGTCTGGAATTCCTCTCTTCTGGGTTTCTGGGGTTACATATTGGGAGTTATTATACTTGTCTGTACAATGCTGGGGAGTTTGTTTTCAGTACACCCAATATAGTATTGAAAAGAAAACTAAAGAGTGCTGGTCATGCTCACTGATACATGTAGTCTTAGCATTTGGAATTTGATCCCTGGAAGTCATGTAAAAGCTAGATGTGTAAAGAGTTAGGTGCATAAAACTGTAACTTCAGTACTCTGACTGCAAGATGGAAAATAAAGAAATGCCTAGAAGGTTTTGGGCCAGCTAGTGGACTCTGCTGTACAGTTGAGAAGCCGGAGAGGCCCTGACCTAGGAGGTAGAAGGAGGTGGCTCACCAACAGGTTCATTACCTGCTGGGCTCTTTTGCTGGCCCCACTGTGCCCAGTTCAGTCCTGTTTTATACTTGATCTTAGCCAAATTCAGGGAAGTGATTGATGTGTTGATTTTATATCTCTGACTGTGCTGTGATACACGAGGCTGGACATCAGATACACAGTGCTCAGCAGGTGATGCTCCACCTATTGTCTCTGGATCAGCTCTGTAGCGGCAGGTTTAGATAACTGAGGAAAGCCCTGGTTCCTGGTCATCAACAGTTTTATTTTTTCTGGCTGGTAGAGATGGCTCACCAAGTCACTTAAACTCAAACTTAGTGACCTCAGTCTGATCCCTGGAGCTATGTAAATGTAGAAGAGAGTTGTTTCCCGAGTTTTCTGACCTCTGCACGTGCGCCACACATGCAATAAATACATATTTTAAAGTGACTACTTTTTCAGTTGGGAAGGTTCAGTGTTTCTCAGTTAATTTTGATAACGCATTCTAACAGGATAAGTTGTAGTTGATGGCATAGTAAATCAGATCTTTGAGTTTCTGTCATTTGTGGAAGGAACTAAGAACTAAGGAGAGGAAATAGATGTGTAGATGTACAGCTCTTTTAACCTCCTCCATGGCGAAATTACATAAACTTTTCTATCATTAAGGTTATTTTGACAAGATCTAAGGGCATGCATTATATTGAGAGCTCTTTGGAATGTGAAATTGTATTCCTTTCTTACAGATATTGAAGCCCAGATTCGAGAAATTCAAGGCAAGAAGGCAGCTCTTGATGAAGCCCAAGGAGTGGGCCTTGATTCCACAGGTTATTATGACCAAGAAATTTATGGTGGAAGTGATAGCAGATTTGCTGGATATGTGACATCAATTGCTGCAACTGAACTTGAAGATGTAAGTTGTAAGAGGCAAGGTTTTTTTTTTTTGAAAGTTAAATATAGGGGATTTTTTTTTTGTTGTTGTTGTTTGAATTGCATGGTCAAAAAAAAAAACTATGTAAAATTTACCCATTGAGTCTGGTTTGTGTGCTCACATGCTCAGGGAAGACCATCCTTTGGAGTGTGCAGTCTACCAGGGCCATACCCGTAACACCCTCCCCCCAAGTCATCACCTGTCAGTGGCTCCTCAGCCAGGGGCTGGAGTTGACCGCGTGCGGGCAGCCAGAGCTGCTGTGAGTTGGTGGATCCAGCAGCCGTCTTTGTACAGAAGACACTGCTTCGCTCCCATCTTCCCCGCCTGCCTCGTAAAGCTTCCTTCCCTTCTGACATGGTTCCTGAACCTTGGGAGGAACGCGTGTATAGACGTCCGTTTTGGTGGAACAAAGTAGAACATCAATCTTTTTGTGGAAATTCCACATGACTTTTCTTTTCACCGTCTCCAAACATTCAAATTTGGTAAAATAGCTATTGAGTCAGTTATTGCATAGTTGCAATTAGACAAAATTTATATACATTATCAAACTTGTTGATGATTTTTTTTTTAAGACAGGATCTCACTTTATAACCTTAGATGGCTTCCAACTCACCATGTAGATGAGATGATTGGTCTCATTCATAGAGATCCACCTGCTTCTGCCTCCCAAACACTGGGATTGAATGTGTGGCCCCACCCCATTCCTGGCTCAAACTGGTTATTTTTATAAAATTCAAACCACATCTTTTGTCGCTGACACGTTATCCCCTTTATAGAAAGGTGTTTATGTGATTGTCCCTAAGATGAGGTTCTAGAAGCTGGTCGGAGACTAGTGTTTGCAGAGGGCATTCCTACCCTCTGTGTGCATGTGCATGCCTGTGTTCTGAGACGGGGTCTGATATGTTAGTTCACGCTGCCCTTAACTCAGAATTGTCCTGCTTCTGCCTGACCCAAGTGCTAGGCTTAGGAACTAAGTGTGGCCTGAGCACTAACCACGTCCTCACCTAGGACACGTGATGACTGTGTGTCTAGAAGTGAGGGAACAAGTTACTTCACCTGGGTGTCCTGGAACTCACTTTGTAGACCGGGCTGGCCTTAAGCTCACAGGGGTCTGCCAGCGTCTGCTGGGATTAAGGTGTGCACCGGCTCTGGTACACTTCTTATACTAGAAAAGGAGCCGTTTATGTTTGCCATGTAGACATGCTGTGAAGTCTACACAGTAGATAACTGAGGAGGTAGCTGCCAGACTGCAAATCTGTCCTGGTAATGCTCTGTCTGACGTTTGTGGCTCTGGTGTGTGATTGCAGGATGACGATGACTACTCATCATCTACCAGTCTGCTCGGTCAGAAGAAGCCTGGGTACCATGCCCCCGTGGCACTGCTTAACGACATACCACAGTCGACAGAGCAGGTGAGTTGAAGGTTTGCTCGGCTGAGGGAGCACAGAGCGACTTGGGGGAGCCAGCAATAACTTTTTAGAGGTGATCCTCTCAGGAGGCGTTGACTTCTGGAAACTGATCAGCCACAGGCACTTGTTTCTTTCTTTTTTTTAATTTTAATTAGATCACTTCATTTATTTATTTGGGTTTTTGAGTACAGGTTTCTCTGTACCTTTGGAGCCTGTCTTGGAACTAGCTCTGTAGACCAGGCTGGGCTTGAATTCAGAGATCTGCTTCTCTCTGCCTCCTGAGTGCTGGGATTAAAGGTGTGTCATCACTGATTGGCTTTGTTTTTTTATTTTTATGTCCATTGGTGTTTGAGGGAGTTGGGTCCACTGGATCTTGGATCCAGCTTACAGTTGTGAGCTGCCATGTGGGTGCTGGGGATTGAACCAGAGTCCTCTGGAAGATCACCTAACTAACCGCTTGAGCCATCTCTCCAGCCTCTACACTTTTTTCTTAGACAGTGGTTTGTTTCTTTGATGTGTCTGGCAGGCGTTGGTTATAAAATAGAATGGGTATTAAATGAGACATGCCTTTTTCCAGTACGATCCATTTGCTGAACATCGTCCTCCGAAGATTGCAGACCGGGAAGATGAGTACAAAAAGCATAGGCGGACCATGATAATTTCCCCAGAGCGTCTTGATCCTTTTGCAGATGGTAATTCTTTCCCACTTTTCCATAAGTATTCAGAGATTTATTTTCATTAAGTTGTCTTTAGCCCTTTGATTTTTTTTGGCATGCTTATGAATTTGCTTTTCGTTTTTAAAGACCCCCTTATAGATTTGTATAGATTTGGTTGAAGTCACAGATACCATATTCTTCATCTTTATAATGCAAGTTTTCTTTCCAGGTAGAAGGACAAGAAAATAATGAGCCAATGCCATAGAAACGCAAAGGGTTAAAGGTTTTTCTTTTACTTTTGTTTTGGGTACTCTTGGTATACTTTGAACAAATGTATTTTTCTACTCAAAATACTTTCAAATTATTGCAAGTTTTTATTCCAAATTCTATAGTTTTGGATTGTTACTTTTGAGAAACTGTTTCTCACACTAGAGTCCCCTCAGATTGTTATAGCTTAGTAAATGCACCTACTTTGCTTTATGCAAGTTTGTAGTTAAAACAAAAGTTATATACAAAGACTTTGGTGTTTCTAATAGTTGGAGTCTGTTGTGCTAATTGTAGTGTGCAAGGGGCATAGTGAGCCTGATGGAAGCTCTCCTCGGGTGAGTGAGTCCCACCATCCAAACTAAGTGCCTGTTTGTAAAAATAGATTCTGCTGCAGGTTTACACATTAGATTTTCAGCCTGCATGAATTAATAGGGATATTCTTTTCTTTACTTGCATAATTGTAATTGATTTAAACATGTATGTCAGAATTCACAGGCCCATACTAACTGTCCTTAATTTCTCTCCTACAGCAGTACTGCTATATGCCAGTCCTGTCTGCATTCTTAAGGGTGCAGCTCAACACATCCTCTCTAGATTATGGTGAAAAAGTATTCCAAAGGAAGTCCTATCAGAGCTAGTGTCAGAAAGAATGGCACTACCAATTGGGCATGATCGTCAGCATAGGAGATGTCTTAGCGTTTTAATATTTTGTCCTAAATTTTAATGCTATACTACTCGTATAGCTAATTACCACATTTCTGAAGCATAGTGTGCCTTTGTTGGTCTTGTTATATACTGTTTGGGCTTCTTTAAGATATTTTGCAGTTTGAAAAGCAAATAACTGAAACTTAACAAGAGACTAACACATCTCTTTGTACACCACTTGTCTTTGTGTTCATTGTAATAACTGGTAGAAATAATATATCTGAAGTAGTATGTTTCCAGTTGTAATTGTACTTTCTCAGAAATAGAATTATATTTTGGGTCAAGAAAAAAAATCTCTTAAAAAGCATGAAGCCCTTTTTAGTAATGTGACTTGAGTAAGATTGTAGGTATATTAGATTTTCTCAGTTACTACTATTTAGATCATTGTATGGAGAACTTATGTAGTCAGTTACTGCAGTCAGGATTTTAACAGCTTGCAACAGGTAATGTTTTGAATATAAATATCTTTCCAAAGTGTTACTAATGGTAAAGAGATAATTTTCTAGGCTTCTATTCTGCTGCTTGAAGTCAGAACTGCTGATGGAGACAAAGGCACGAAAGTGTACGTATTCCGGATTAGCAACCCAGGAACCCATCACTTCTGAAGACTAAACTGTGCTGTCATTTTGCTTTATATATGCATTAAAATAATTGTTTTAAACTGCTGTAGATATGTTTGTGTTCAAACAGGTTAAAATTGATCAGCAAACTCAATAAAAAGTAAGATGTATAATTATCAAAGTTTTCCACCAAAAAATAAATTAAATGATTATGGAATAATGTAATATTAGAGCAGGGCAGAGAAATCAGCTGACCCTAATACCTTTTATTTATTGTGCTCTTTCCTGTTGCTGTTCTTTTCTGCAGGAGGGAAGACCCCTGACCCTAAAATGAATGCCAGAACTTACATGGATGTTATGCGGGAACAGCATTTGACCAAGGAAGAGGTACGTAATGGTCGTGCGACGATGTCAGAAAACTTAAAAGAATTTTATATTTCAGTTTTTATTGTATAGCCCTGGCTATATTAGAACACACCCTGTAGATCAGGCTGGTTTTGAACTTACAGAAATTTGCTTGCCTTAACCTCCTGAGTGCTGAGTTTAAAGATATGTGCCACTGCCAAGCATTTTTTTTCCGCGGGGTGGTTAATGTGGAGCTCCACCTAGCCTGCTTTGGCCTCCTAAGGGCTAGAGTGCCAGGATTAAAGCATGTGTAACCATTGCCAGGCATTTATTTTTTTAAAGATGGTTTCGTGTAGTCCTGGCTGGCCTAAAGCTCGGATCTGCCTGCTTCTGCCTCTAAAGTTCTGGCAAGGTGGCAACAAGCATGATTGGACTGTAGTATTTCAGTTGTAAAATTGAAGTAATTACCCCAGAATTGTATCACCTGTAAAACTTGACGTTTTGATTTTTTGGAGCTCTTTGTAGGTGCAAGCCCGTGGAGGAATCTAGTGGTCACATTAGTTCTTAATCCCTGCTGCACATTTGGTTTGATTGTAGGTGGAGATTCTGAGTAGTTCTTTAGCCTTACAGAGGTAATTCTGTTAGCATGGATGCAGTGCTAGGAAGCCAAACCTCAGCTGTTTCTTTGTAGTTTTTGTTTTTATTACATTTGTGTATCTTCCTGCCATGGTATATGCCGTGTTGTGCCTGTGGAGGGCAGAGGGACAGCTGGCAGGAGTCGGTCTGTTCTGCCCAGGAACTAAATGTAGGTCATAGGCTTGGTGACAACTGCTTTTACCAGCTGAGCCATTTTGCTGTTTCTGGTCCTGGTCTTTTGATTGTTCTTTGTAAGTAGGGTCTTTCTCTGGCCCAATCTAACCTAGAACTATTCTGTAGCTCCACAGTCACAGACTGGTCTCTAACTCACTGGAATCCTCCTGCCTCAGCTTCCTGAGGATTAAAGGTGCACACCATCATATCTTTATTAATAGTGTAATTAAGTTTGTTAGATGAACCTTATTTTAAGATGAAACCCTAAATTAAATGCATTTTTATGACACTTAAGTTTTATTTTTACTTTTCTTGTTCCTTTTTGGTTTTGAGACGAGTCTTACTATGTATTTCTGGATGGCATGGAAGTCACTCATTGATCTTGAATTCAAAGCAATATTCCCGCCTTAGACTATGGGTCACAGGCATGTGCCACTGCCCGTGGCTTATTTTGTGTCAGTGAGTTTTAAAAGCTTTCATTTGCATATTTTCAGTTCTCTGCTGTTAAGTGGAGACTTTATTTACAACTAGAGATTGTACTTTCCAGTAAGATCTGTTTCACTAGCTTCAAACTGTAGGCTGTCAAACCTCTAGAGCCGCTTCTCCGCTGTCTAGAAAGAAGACGATGCTGTAGAACTGCAGGTGCATAATAGCAGAGAGAAGGGACAGGCCGGGAAAACAAAAATTAAATAACTCACTCAATAGAAATGAGTATACTAGGGCATAAAAGCTTAACAAAGAGTTTTTCTCCTTCCCATTTTCTGATGCTGGGCATTCACTAGGGATGCAGGCGTGTTTGGTAGGCATAAGCTACCCGTGAGTTCCTTCTGTTTGTGAAGTGATGTGAGAGATAAGTGTTCTGCTCTTTCGTGTTTTCCAGAGAGAAATTAGGCAACAGCTAGCAGAAAAAGCTAAAGCTGGGGAGCTTAAAGTCGTGAATGGAGCAGCAGCGTCCCAGCCCCCCTCAAAACGAAAACGGCGCTGGGATCAAACCGCCGACCAGACTCCTGGTGCCACTCCCAAAAAGCTGTCAAGTTGGGATCAGGCAGAGGTAACTTTATTTTTATTGCTCTTTTTATATTTTCCTCTATGGAGCGTGTTTGTATTGGGTTTCTAAAACAAGTTACCATTGACTGGTAGCTCAAGTGACAGTATTTTCTCATTCATGCGGCTCAGAGTCCAGATCTCACCGGCTAGCAGGTGCTGTCTGCTGAGAACACTCCTCACTGTTTTCTCATAGCGTCTTCTCATTCATTCATTCATTCATTCATTCATGCGGCTCAGAGTCCAGATCTCAGCAGCTGGCAGGTGCTGTCTGCTGAGAACACTTCTCACTGTTTTCTCATAGCGTCTCCTCCCTTCCTTCCTTCCTTCCTTCCTTCCTTCCTTCCTTCCTTCCTTCCTTCCTCATTCATTCATTCATTCATTCATTCATTCATTCATTCACGACAAGGTTGTGCCTTCCTGGCCAGCCTAGAACTTGTTATATAGGCCAGGGTAGCATCAAACTCTGGGATTGACCCACCAAATGCTGGGGTTAAAGGATTGCATCATGCCACCACTCAGGGGTGGAATAATAACTTATTAGCATATTGTATGTTTAATAGTGGAGATTGAGTACAATATCGTAGTCTTCCTTCCTTTCTTCTTGGATAGCCTTTGTCCACAGTTAGTGATCGGGTGACACCGTTATATTTTTGGCTACCTTATACTCTGTTGATCTCTCTCTCTCTATTGACATAAGGTTTCTGTCCTGCCTGGTCCCAAAGAAACACACAGGGGTCTACATTAATTATAAACTAGTTGGCTTATTAGTTCAGCCTTCTTATTAACTCTTACATCCTACATTAACCCATAATTCTTATCTGTGTTAGCCTTGTGGCTTGTATCAGTGAGGCATTCTCATTTTGCTTTCTCTGTGATGACTGTCAACTGAATCTTTTCTCTTCCTAGAATTCTGCTCTGGTTGCCCTGCCTATACTTCCTGCCTGGCTACTGGCCAATCAGCATTTTACTAAAACAATACAACTGGCAAATCTTTACAGAGTACAAGACCATTGTGCAACAGCCCACCCCTTTTCAAAACAAGAACTCTGAATCTAATCTTTGTTTAGCTTTCTTCCTGACCATTATTCCTAACAACTTGAGCCAACACTCTAAACAAAGAAACAACCATAATCCATTTTTTGGGGAATGCAGGTGTAGTTTTCCAGGCTACTTACTGCTGATTGGGAGGTGCTAATAATCTTATGGGAACCTAAAGAAAATTTTGAATTATGGTCAAGTCCTGACTGGAGTATTATTGTACGAGGCTTGATCATCTCAGGCAGCAGTCTTGAGGCTGTTCTGCATGTAGAACTCAGACATTTGGGCCATCTGTTCCTACCAGAGATTTTTCAGGGGGTCTTCCTTGATCAAACCTGATTTTTCTTAACCCAGAATGAATCTACAGCCTCTCATTTCCTATGGAAACAAAAACAAAACCTCTTCTCCAAAGTAACATATGTTTTGACTTAAATTTTGAAGTCAGGACATTTTCAAAATACATATGTTGGATGAATCCAGCAGCACTTATAATCAAATGTCTTTTAGGAGCTGTTGCTCCTTCCTCAGCAGTCAAACAGTTCCAAGACAGCACAATAATAAACAGTATCCAGATTCTGTATTATCCATCTTTACTTGGTTTTATTTTAAACTCTATTTTTATTTTGAAATTTTGGTTTTTTTGAGACAAGGTTTCTCTGTGTATCTTTGGCTGTCCTGGAACTCATTTTGTCGACCAGGCTGGCCTTGAACTCACAAGAGATCTGTCTGCCTCTGCCTCCCAAGTACTGGGGTTAAGGGCGTGTGTCACCACTACAGGGCTTGAACATATTTGCAAAAATATGTGCAACAGGATTGACCGTTTTAACCATTTTAAAAGCTTATGTTTAGTGGAATTAAGTGTTGTTGTATAGCCGTCAGTCACCAGTACTTGTCGGACATTTTGCCAGACAGAAATCCGATCCTACAGTGTTGCATCTCTGTCCTTTCCCACAGGAGATTCTCTGCCTCTGTCTGTTTCCTTCATATGAGTTATTACTGTCAGCAAGCATGCTTTACCACCCATTGTCCTAAAAATAAACTTGTAGAGAAACCCTCTATTGACCTTCAGACACCATCACTGTGCTCACTCTGAATGCTTTCAGTGAATGTCTGTCTCCTATTTCATCGTCTCCTGACCATACGTGTTTGTCCAGATAACCCCATTGTTACTAAAGCCAAGTTCTGTCTTCATTGATCACACTAGTTAACTAGCTTATCAGTAGGCTCAAGCCTCTTCTCTTAGATTCTGACTTGGGTCTTTCCAGTCTCTGTCCATGGTTGCTGTTTCTTGTTTGTGTGCCCGATCCTCGGTACCGAGAACAACGACAGTCTCTGTAGTGCTTCTGCTTCTGCTCTCTTCCCAGCATCCACTGTCTACAGGGCCACACAGAGAAACCCTGTCTAGGAAATGGAAAAAAAAAGATTAATTTTTTTTTGGGGGGGGTGAGATTCATTTTGTTCCTGCATATATGTCTGTATACCACATGTGTGACTGGTGCTTGAAGGGTGTGGGATTCCCCTGGAACTTGAGCTGTGGATGGTTTTAAGCTGCCATGTGGTGCTGGGGCTTCACCAGGTCCTCTGGAACAGCGGTTAGTGCTTGTTGTTTTGGTGGTTTGGTTTGGTTTGTTTTTTCTTTTTTTTCAAGACAGAGTTTTCTTGTGTAGCCCTGACTGTCCTGGAACTCATTGTTGATCTTTAAAACAAATTTTAAATGAGGTTTATTGGTTCAGAGGTAAACAGCACTGGATCTTTCAGAGATCCTGAGTTCAATTCCCAGCAACCACACAGTGGCTCTCAGCCATCTGTAATAAGATCTGGTACCCTCTTCTGGCATGCAGGCAGAACATACATGCAACAGTAAACGTAACAAATTTTAAAAAAGATAACCAAGATTTATTGTGTGTGTGTGTGTGTGTGTGTCTGTCTGTCTGTCTGTCTGTCTGTCTGTGCATGTGTGAGTAGAAGTGCCAGAAGAGGGTGTTGGATCCTCTGCAGCTGGAGTTACAGTTGTGAGGCCCCCATTTCACCTCTGGGCACTGAACTTGGATCACCTCTTAAAGACAAGGTTTCACTGTGTATCCCTTTCTAGCCTTCCTTGAGCTTGTGTAGACCAAGTTGGCCTCAGACTCAGGTTCTTCTCTTGCTTCCTGAGGGCTGAGATTAAAGTCTTGTGCCACCATGCATACCCAGAGCTGTTATTTTTAAAAATATTTATTTATTAATTAATTTATTTATACAGTATCCTGCTTATATGCCAGAAGAGGGCACCCGATCTCATTATAGGTGGTTGTGAGCCACCACCACATGGTTGCTGGGAATTGAACTCAGGACCTATAGGAAGAGCAGTCAGTGCTCTTAACCGCTGAGCCATTTCTCCAGCCCCCCAGAGCTAAGTTTTAAAAGCCAAGATAAACTTATTTTACTTAGCACAGCTTAGCTGTGTGCTTATAATTGGATAGAAGAATAAATTTTAAAAAAGCTTTATTTAATGTAGTGGCATGCATGTCTGTGAGTGCACACCACATGTGTGCAGGTTCTGTGAGGCCAGGAGAAGGTGTCAGATCCATTGGGATTGGAGTGACAGGTTATGAGCCTCTCTGTGAACCATACTCAGGTTCTCTGTGAAAGCAGCTAAACACTCTTTTTGTTTTGCTTCTTTTTGCTTTTTTTTTTTTTTCCCTAAAATCACAACAGGGTTTCTCTGTGTAGCTTTGGCTGTCCTGGAACTTACTTTGTAGATCAAGTTGGCTCTAACTCAGAGATCTGCCTGCCTCCTGAGTGCTGGGATTAAAGGTGCAACACCCCCCCCCCCCCCCGCAGTTAAACATGCTGAGCCATCCATCCTCAGCTGGGTTTAATTTTAATGTGTTTTTCACTACTTAACTTATCTAGAGTTTTTTTCTGCTGAATAGCAGTCTTTTTAGCTGAGTGTGGTGGTACATCCCTTATAGTCCCTCACTAGGGTAGGTGAGGCAGGATTCTGAGTTCCAAGCCAGTTTCTGGGCTACCTAATTTCAGAAAAACAACATGTACCTCACACCACTTCCATCCCCTACCAAGACATTGTGTGTTTTGAGCTGTTGTGCATAGTCTCGGATGTTACTTAAATCCACCTCGAGTCTTCTCTTCCCACTGATGTTGGCAGCATCACAGTAGGTGAAGGCATTTGCGTGGATTCACGTGGTGGAAAGAGACAACAGACTCATGGGTTATCTTCTGCTTTCCACACTTGCTCTGTGGTGTGCGTGTACTCACACATACACACAAATAAGTAAAGATGGGGGCCCCACTGTGTAGCTCTGGGTTGCCTGAAACCATGTAAACCAGATTGGCTTTGAACTCAAAGAAATGTACTTTCCTTTGGCTTATAACATGTTATAAAAAGTATTTCTTATAGTATGTGGATTCTTTCTTCCCTAGAAGTTCTGTCTCAGAGATCCAGTTTGGGATGCACTGGTTTAAATTAGAGTTGAAAGTCTTCTATTGGAGATGTAGATAGACAAACTTCCATGAATTTCCTAAAGCCATAGCATTCTTAGTTGTATATTTTAAGACACTTTGTATAGCGACTGGAGTGATGGCTCAGAGGTTAAGAGCACTGGCTGCTCCTCCAGAGGTCCTGAGTTCAATTCCCAGCAACCACATGGTGGCTCACAACCCTCTGTAATGAGATCTGGCGCCCTCTTCTGATGTGTAGGCATACACACTGGCAGAACACTGTATCCATAATAAATAAGTTTTAGAAAAAAGAAAAAAAAATTAAAAAAAAAGCTGTGTGGTGGTGGCTCATGCCTTTAATCCCAGCACTCTGGAGGCAGAGGCAGGTAGATCTCTGTGAGTTCAAGGACAGTCTTGAACTTACAGAGGGAGTTCCAGGACAGCCAGGGAAAGATACTTTGTATGTTTTAGAGATGATTATAATAGCCTTGCTTTCGATTTTGAATGAGTTTAAGTGTACAGCATAGAAGAGTAAAAGAAAGCTACATAGCTTCCATTATAAATGGCTGTTCCAACTGTACAGGCTGGTTAGGGCTGGTAATTTTGGTGTGTGTGTTTTTCTATTTACAAGTTTTTCTGTAAAAATCGTTTTTGAAAGAAAAGTAAAAGAACAATAGCAAATAGAGAGGTAGGTAGAGCATATAAATGAAGCTTGATTGAATCAGCGTTTACAACGCCCAGAAGAGATAGCTGGAGTAGTCTGAATAAGAGAACAGAAAGGTGACATCGATCAAGAGCACACCAACTTCCAGCAAATACCAGCTGGGGAAACTGAGGCATTTAGCTCAGTTCCTCGGGTAGCTTTTCCTCCGTGGACGCCGTTTCTTCCCTGCTGTCGCGCAGGCATGTCTATCATGTGTAAACCCCAGGTGACTCTGCTAGACACGGTTTACCTTCCAGCTGTTCTCAGGACAGCTTTTACTCTTGGACTCTTGCCCTTCCTTCTTCCCGTTGTATGTCTGTGTGAGGGTATTTGTTAAATCCCCTGGAACTAGGGTTATAGACATTTAGTTGTGAGCTGCCATGTAGGTGCTGGGAATTGAAACCTGTGTACGTTGGAAGAGCAGTCAGTACTGAGCTGTCTTGCAGTTCTGTGTTTTATGGCTTAATCTCAGGCTTTTTATTATCCCAAATGAAAGCTTTACATTGGTTTTGATCATAGGCATTTATTTGTAAGACAGTAAACAGAATAACAGTCTAATTAACTGAGTATAGGAAACACGTAAAGGATGCATTTATTTGCATTTTGTTTGAGAAATGTTTTGGTTATTTTTCTAAAGTATTGAGGTATGTGAAATAAATTTTTTGTTTTGCTTTCTTAAGACCCCTGGACATACCCCTTCTTTAAGATGGGATGAGACACCAGGTCGTGCAAAAGGAAGTGAAACTCCTGGAGCAACCCCAGGTTCAAAAATATGGGATCCTACACCTAGTCACACACCTGCGGGAGCTGCTACTCCTGGACGAGGCGATACCCCAGGCCATGCAACCCCAGGCCACGGCGGTGCAACTTCCAGCGCTCGTAAGAACAGATGGGATGAGACCCCCAAAACAGAAAGAGGTAGGTCCTTTCAGTGGCGTGTAGACGAGTCTTTGGATGAGGTGGTGACTTGAGTGTTGTGTTTCAGGCTGAGGTCCGTACTTCCTAGTATAAATATAAATACAATATAAATTTCTGTGTAACTAACCAGGTCCTACAGAGGTTTAGCAGGTTGATTCTCTTGAGAAGTCGGACCCCCACCGAGTGTGTCTTTTTCTCTTACTGTTTGTCTCAATACTCAAGCATAAACACATACAATAGGTAAAATCTTTTCTTAATAAACTTCCAACTATGGGCTGGTGACATTGCTCAGCGGTGACATTGCCACTAACCAAGCCTGAGGACATGCTTCCCTGGGGCCCACATGCTAGGAGGAGAGCCCCAGCTGCACAGGTAACCTTGGACCTCCGTCTGTGCATAGTTGCCTGTGTTCCTCAGCATACACAGTAAATAAGGAAATGAAGCACTCTTCAACTTTAAGTTAACTCAGCAAATGGAGTGTCCAGTTCTTTCCCCTCTTATGAAGAGGCTGGGGAATTTAGGAAGAACCATAGAAGATAAATTTTGTATTTTTATAAAATAGAAGGAAAATAATTTTGTGATTTTTTTTTAACTTTGAAAAATGTTTTGAAAACCATATCACTAACCTTCAACTGCTGATTCTTTTGCCTCAGCCTTCTGTGTTTAAATACACCTGCTTTAATTAATCATTTTTTTAAGTACACAATTTAGTGACTTTAAACATATTCCTAGTATTGCACAGCTATGATTATAACTCATTTCTGAATCTTTTTTCAGTGACCCAAACAGAAACTGCATCCTTTAAACACAAACACGTCTCCTTTCCCTACCGTCGTGTGTCCTGCTAGCCTCTGTTTTATGTGCTCTCTCAGAAATTTGCCTAAACCGAGTATTGGATACATAGCGAGATTAACTTGACTCAAGATAAACAGTGGATGGCTTCATATAGTGATTTGTGTGGATGAAAAAATTTGCTTTTTAGTTTCTTAGTAGTTGTTTTGTGTGCCGTTGTAGTCAGTGGAAAGGAAACCTACAAATACTGAACAAAACTTTTAGGTATATCTTGTTTTGGGATTATGTTCCTTTTGAACGTAATCATACTGAACGTTGGGGAAACAATATTTTGAAAGTGGTTAGTAGTGTGATCTTACTGACCCTTTGTTTTTGCAGATACCCCTGGGCATGGAAGCGGATGGGCTGAGACGCCTCGAACAGATCGAGGTGGAGACTCTATTGGTGAAACACCAACTCCTGGAGCAAGCAAAAGAAAGTCTCGTTGGGATGAAACGCCAGCTAGTCAGATGGGTGGAAGCACTCCTGTTCTGACCCCAGGAAAGACACCAATTGGCACGCCAGCCATGAACATGGCCACTCCCACGCCAGGTAAAACTCTTACTGGAAATAAGATCTTTCTTTCTTTCTTTCTTTCTTTCTTTCTTTCTTTCTTTCTTTCTTTCTTTCT